AATGACGAAGGGCTAACGCTCGAAACGCTAGCTTTTTAACTCTTTACAGTGGCCAATTTCACGTTAGTTGATATAACCAGATTACCTTGCAATCCTTGACTACCACTGGACACTAGTTTATTTGGCAAAAAGAGCTGCTAGACTATGTCTTTGGATACTGACCCTGGCAGCCGCACGGCACATGTCTGAGGCCATCTTTCCAGCTACTTTCGTTTCAAGTACTTTGTTGGCACAGAAAGCAAACAACTTCTCCAAGGCACTCTACGACAAAAAAAAAAAAAAAAGAAAGCAAAGGGGACAATCGCACACGTACGTATCTGTCAAAATCAATAAGTACTCGGCAGCACAACAGCGGTAATCAATTCTTGTTTCAAAACCAGTTCAATTTGTGCCTGGCCCCGATGCTGGATAGCGCGGTACGGTTTTGTCAACATTTATCCCCTGGACAGCAATTCATCCCGGTGGGTTATAAAAATGAGAGGCAAAGAATTTGTCAATGGTTTAATCTTAAAGTCAGTAACACATAAAAGAAACAATTGGGAACTAATTTCAACCGGAGATAAACAAACGAATATGAAATAAAAAATTTCACAAGAATTACCACATGAATGAATAAACATAAACCAAAAGAAAAAGTAATGAATTCTAGCCATTGTATGAGCGAGCGGACGAAATAAAAGAACGAACGACCAAGCAAGCGAACAGACAAAACGAAAAAGGAACAAAGGATGAAACTTTACCTGAAAAATCTTGGGTGAGCTCTGCATGAGAATGGCATGAAACGTCGACGCTACACCCATTCCCATCATGCCCTCCAAGGAATGCCGCTGGTCTGCCTTCATTGTTGTACTGTCCAGTTCGGATGTATTCTCAAAGGATGAATTATCGATCATTGAAAAACATCTGAAAAAGGTCCGATGCAATTTATTGTAAAGTGAGCTGAATGCTCTTCGAGTGTTGCGACGTATGTACCAGAGAACAGATGTACAGCTAAAACGATAAAAGATATTAATGTAACCTACCTATCCATGAACTGTAACACGAAGTCTTCAAACTGAGAAGTGGCAAGACACAATTCTTTCTCATCCTACGTTAAACAACAACAACAACAAAACAGTCATCATCACAATAATGGTTAGCTTCAAATAATGATATAATCTGTGGTGAAAGCTTGAACGGCTCTCCAAACTTATCTCTTGCATGATCCAGAACTCTACATACCCAAACCAAGCTAATCTCGGACCAATTCTTAATAATAAAAAAGCTAAAAAAGCAAGCAAGGTTCTCAGTGGAAAAAAATTGTTTTGATAAAAGATGATTGTGACAAGTCACTTGGCAATTCTGTCCGTGGCTTTGTAGGCTAACGTCCAATAAATTTCCCTAATTGATAACACCAGTTTCGGGTAAAAATAATTAAATCTATACTTTTGACAAAAACAAAGAACGTTTCACAAAGTATAATTTATTATCGTCACCTCAGTCATTTCTACGACCCCCACAGCTTCTGAGCAATCAACCACAGGAACAAGACAAACAATAGTGGATATAAACATAAATGTTCCCTGTGGAGAAAAAAATCAACAACAACAACTTAACAACATTATGCCTAAAACTCATAGTTATACTGTAACACACACTGTAGCCATAGCCAACTCACCTACACATGACCAACCATACACTAGACAATTCGGTTCTACCAACTGAGTTGGTAATACAAATTTGCCACCATAAAGAGTTTCAAAGCGTTAGCCCGTCGTCAGAGCATGACGAAGGGCGATTGCTCGAAACGTCAGCTTTGAAACTCTTTACGGTGGCCAATTTACGTTATCAACTCAGTTATTAAAACTAAATTATCTTGTTATACCCCCAACCGACGGAGCACTAGAGTTTCTTTAGAAAACAACCCCGTCATTCGTTTAACCATACGCTATACTGTTCACTGTTGCAACTACATGTATCAACATATTTCCCTACTGTAACTTTTAACTCGCTTTGCCTACAGTTGCGACAATGTGCTATAAACTTAAAAAACAATATGATCGTCGTTTAATGTAACTGTCACTCCAAAACGCCTCGGGCATAAAATGAAATAACGCTAGAAGCGAATGAAGGTGGGAGGGTAGCAAAAAGATTTGAGTGTGGAAATGAGGGAGTATGTGAACATAGGGGTCTGGACAGAAGGAAAATCAGGGATATATTGAGGTGAAATAGGGAAGTGAACGGTGAAAAAAAAAAATCTCTTCTACTTCTCTGGTCCACATTTGATTCCCTGGCAAACCTAGCATCAGGAGTGGGTCATTCCACATTGAGTGTAGAAATGAGGGAGTATGTGAACATAGGGGTCTGGACAGAAGGAAAATTAGGGATATATTGAGGTGAAATAGGGAAGTGAAGGGTGAAAAAAAACTCTCTGCTACTTCTCTGGTCCACATTTGATTCCCTGGCAAACCTAGCATCAGGAGTGGGTCATAACATTCATGAATTACGCCAAGACTACTCCGATTATAGATCACTGAGTACAGAAGAATTTCACAATTTGAATATTGAAATAAAAACGGAAGTTATCCCGGGGCACTTGTGCTTGCAAACCTTTTGTGGAATATACACTCACTAGAGCCTTTCTGAAGTCATTTGGATCTATCCCTGGTAGTACAAGTTGTAGTAATGGTAAGACATGGTGTCGACCAGCGGGATAAGACTCGTCAGGCCTGACAAGGGCCCTGGCTACAGATGTCACACAGTTTAAAGTTGCTGTCAATTGATGGGGCTCAGTAAGGGTGGCAAGGGCAACGTACAACCTATAACAGGTAGGATAAGGACACAGTGTGGTGGTTAGTTTGAATTCTTTCGTAGCAGCAGATTGATGTCCAAAAGGGTTAAAAATGAATTTGGAATCCAGCCTTCTCTTTGGCCAAGGAACTCGCGCTTTGTACTTTCCATGAGCATGTCCCCTTGATGCCATAAATCAAACGACAAGTAAAGTAAAATGAGCGGACAATATGCATGTGAGCAGAGATGGTGGAGAAGTAAGAGGGAGCTTTCAACTAGCCCTAACACTTTCTCATATGGTACACTTACCCAATATTTGATTACTCATAGTAAAAATTTGTTCCCTACGTCACCTATATCAAATGCTATTTAATTAAAGCCTGTCATCGGGAAATATTCTGGCAAGCTACACTGTAAAGTTCATAAAAATAAACTGCTGTGCAGTGTTTAAAAAGCATGGGTACAAGGCACTGCGTCTACCAAATATTCATGGTGGGATTACTAAACAAAATTATGTGATATCTGGCTTTTATCATGACTAACTGGCAAATTGGTTCAGTGCAATAATAAAAAGGAAATGTAACTGCTGTGAAGCCTTACTTATCCAGTAAAGTTGGAAGGACAATATCAGGCTTGATTAATGCTAAGTTCTGCAGTGCTCCAGCCGCATCAAAGCTTCCACTTTTGTTAAACACTGCCAGCATAACAGCAGGTTTAAGGCATTCAACAAATGCAGTGAGATCTGCGTCTGTCAGCTTGGCTTCTTCTGGAATGGGAGTCAACCAGGCGTTCTTGGAAATCCTCTCCCTGTTAGAAGAAAAGTAAAGATAGGTGATGTGTACAATGCAAGTGAAAACGCACCAATTTCATCTTTCTGCACGAATCTAAAGACAGTCCAAGTGATCGGTAAGCTATGGTCTGTAGAAAGACAGTTGCACCTTCAAACCCCCAAGATACCATAGCATGAAATGGCATGGAGTACCCTTAATTGTTTTAAGATTACCCGCACATTTCACAGACTTCCTGGACAGTTTGATGCATATTCCCACAGTATTATAGTAGCCCATTTCCGAATTACCCTTGGCCTCGTTTTCAAAACGAGTCCTGGTGCTCATCCCTTCATATGATTATAAGTTTTCATT